AAGAGCAGAAAATCAAACACTGCATGTTCTCACTCATAGGTGGGTGTTGAACAATGAGAACACATGGACACAGGGAGGGGAGCACTACACACTGGGGTCTGTTGGGGGAAAATAGGGGAGGGACAGAGGGGTGGGGGAGTGGGGAGGGATAGCATGGGGAGAAATGCCAGATATAGGTGAAGGGGAGGAAGGCAGGAAATCACACTGCCATGTGTGTACCTATGCAACAATCTTGCATGTTATTCACATGTACCCCAATACCTAAAATGCAATAAAAAAAAAACAACCTGAGGTGTTCCGAAAAATCAGCAACTGCCTGATGTCCACTCTAACTTTCTGGAGTTCCGTGTATTTCCAACCAGATAGACTTTTCCATTTTCATAATAGGAGAGAAGGAGGGGCTTGGGAGGGGCCATGGGGAGGAACATCAGGAAGCTACATGGAGGCAGCGTCTGAGGTTTCAGCCAGCCTTCCACACGGTGCTGCCATGTGACCCTGTGCAAGTCCCTTTCCTTCACTGTAGCCCTAGTTTCCATTCATAAAACGAGATGGGATTCAGTCGCTCTTCTGGTACTTCACAGCTCTAACGTCTCATGCTCCTTTCTGTGCCCTACTGGTCATGCCAAGTGTCTAAGGAGGGCAGTGGTTGGCCTAAGTCTTCTAGCAAGTTGGCACAGGAGGCAGAAAGTGCACCCATTATGAGCAGCAGGAGGGCATTTTCTGTACACTGCTGGGATAGACATAGTACTTTGCTAGTGCCTTGCACATAGTAGGCACTTGGTAGATTTACTAGATGAATGCATGCATGTTTCTAGAGTCCTAAGTTAGTGTAGATTCTAGAAGCTACTGCTTTTCTATTCAGAAAGAAGCCTTGAACTTCCCCACCAGGACGGTTTGTTACCAAATGGGGATCCAACACTTTTTTATAACTGAGGTCAGAACTGGCCAGGTAAGGAGAAGCTGGGCTTTATCCCTAATTTCCCATGGGGATCCGGAACCAGTGCCGCTTGTAGGAGAAGCAGAGCTAAACTGCAGAGACCAGGCAACAGGTATGTGTGGCAAACTGGGTGCATGGGTTTGCATCTGAAAAACTAAATCCAGCTGAGTCCACTGGAGGATGCCAACACCGTGGAGATGCAACCAGGACCTGAAAGCATTGTCAGAGTGGCTGGAGTTCTCCCTAGCACTGCACAGGGAGGCAGGCAGCTTAGAGTGGGATCCTAGGCTTTATGCCAAAGTGCCACACAGTATTTCTAAAGATTCAGTAGGATAGTAGATTAAGGCCCAGATGAGGCCATCAACAGAAGAATCTTGTTTAGTATTCCAGCTAAATATTACACCTATCTATCTAGATA